CCTCGCCCAGACCATGGATGAAGATGTTAAAGAGGACTGGTCCCAGTGCTGAGCCCTGGGGACACCACACATGAAGTGGTGAAGCACACTTGCATCCATCGCTGTGCAGGAGGTAGCCAAGCCCTGCCTGGTGGCCTTTGGGGTGGGGAAAAGGTCACACACATCCTCTCCTCACACACAGTGAAGCCATTGTGTCTTGAAGTAGGTGGTGGGGACTGTTGTAGGAGAAGCAGGAGGTCTCACACTGGGAGGTGTGAGCTGGGGAATGGTTCTCTGGTTCCAAAACAGTGGGGTGATCTGCTGAACATGGGTTTTTCTATAGGTCCATGCCTGGAGTCTGGTATATCAAGTGTTGGAGAAGCTGAGGAGCAGGTGGCCACCTCACAGGGTGGGATTCATGACCACATGCCCACGAGCTGTGTTGGTAGGTTCTTTGTTGACCAATTCTCTTTCTTGCAGCTTTATGCCACTCTGAAGGATGGAAACCCACCCTGGGAGGTGACGGAAGCTGTCCTCTTCATCATGGCCTCCATAGCCAAGAGCGTTGACCAGTGAGTGTCCACCATCCTCCTCATGTCTTCTAAGAGCTGTGGGGTGGGACAATGCCTCTGAGTTTTGCAGAAGCACCAAGAATATCCCAAGGATACTCCCAGGAACGTGCTTTTCCACGCCCAACTGTTTAAAACCCACACTTTATTTCAGATAATACAGACCATGTAGGCTCAGAACTGCAGCCACGCAGTAACCCTTGGTGATGGAGCAGATCTGTAGCCCAGGGATTAAGATCTTCATTTCCTGGCCAAGATTATGGGTCCAGGGTGGAGCTGGGATTACAAGAAGCAGTTGGACCTTCTCAGGTCTCCTCTCTGCCTACCTGGGGATTTTAATGCCACACACTTGAGTTCAAGATCAGGGTTGGTTTCTCCTTAATTTATCTCTTGAAAACCAAAAGATTTTTGTCTAGCCTGGTTGGTTGGGATCCTTCTTCATCCAGAGCAGGGAGAACCACCTCCAGGTAGTGAGTTGTCCTAGATATCTTCAAGAAAAAGGTTAAATCCCTTTCTGGAAGCAGCTTTTTTCCCCTGTTAGATGTAGTGGAAGCATGGATAGCTGATGTGGTGGGACATCCCAGCTGGGTTTCTCCAGGCTGGGAACACTGTGACTCCCTTCCCCAGGAGGCTGGAGGAGTCACCTCGTTTGTATGGGCTTGTTGGCTCCCGTTATCTATGTCAAGGCTGCTCTTGCTTGGTTTTTATCTTCAGTTTTTATTTCTCCTTTGTTTCTGAGAGCACTGGTATCTCATGACCTTGTGCTGCTGGGGCACAGGGCAGTTCACTCCCCACCAGTGTGTCCCACAAAGCTCTTGCTCGCCCCGTGTCTCCACCGAGCTTGGCTCTGCTCTTGGCAGGAGAGGGCAAGGGAGGCAGAGCCCAGCCAACGTGGGCTGCAGGGACTCACCCAGGAGCTTCCTCCCACACTGGGAACAGGCTCCTCTGGCTTCTGCCATCCTTGGAGGATCGATGAGGTTTGTTCTTGTGCCAGGAGCACTCACTGGAGGTGTTTCATGGAATCCCAGACTGGTTTGGGTTGGAAGGGCCCTGAAAGCTCATCCAGTCCCAACCCCCCTGCCAGCAGCAGGGACACCTTCCACTAGACCAGGTTGCTCAAAGCCTCATCCAACCTGGCCACAAACACTTCCAGGGAGGAGCAGCCACAGCTTCTCTGGCCAACCTGGGACACTGGCTCACCACCCTCACACCAAACAATTTCTTCCTCACATCTCAGCTCCATCTCCCCTCTGACACTTTCAAGCCATCACCCCTCGTCCTGTCACTCCCTGCCCTTGGCCAAAGTCCCTCCCCACCTTCCTGGAGCCCCTTCAGGTACTGGGAGGCCACTAGAAGGTCTCCCTGGAGCCTTCTCTTCTCCAGGCTGAACAGTCCCAACTCTCTCAGGCTGTCCTCACAGCAGAGCTGCTCCAGCCCTCGCATCATCCTCGTGGCCTCCTCTGCACTGGCTCCAGTAGCTCCATGTCCTTGTGCTGTTGGTGGCCCCAGCACTGGAGGCAGCACTGCAGGTGGGGTTTGTGTTTAGTTTCTGATTGAGTTTCTTCTGCTCTGTTGGGTAGAGATGGAGGTTTCTGTGCATCTGGATCCCAGCTCCAACAGCCCTGAGCCCCCCAGCAGCCCAGGTCTCAGATTCCCAGCCCACCACGGCCACAGGGTTTACCTGGGTGATTTTGAGCAACATTGGAGTCAATCAGGTTCCATAAAACCAGTTCCTCTGCAGAAACGGTCCAGGAGCCACCTCAGAACTAAACTATCTTCTCTTTTTCTCCACAGGGAGAACAACCCAACCCTGGTGGAGGTTCTGGAGGGGGTGGTTCGCCTCCCCGAGACGGTCCACACCGCCGTCCGCTACACCAGCATCGAACTGGTGGGAGAGATGAGCGAAGTGGTGGATAGAAACCCCCAATTCCTTGGTGAGTCCCTTCCTGTCACCTTATCCCCTTCCACCTTGCATCAAACCTGGTTCTTCAAGACCTCCTTCCTTCCTTACCATGACTTTCTCCTCGGTGGCAGATCCCGTGCTGGGTTATTTGATGAAGGGTCTGTGCGACAGGCGGTTGGCGTCGGCGGCGGCCAAAGCCATCCACAATATCTGCTCGGTGTGTCGGGACCACATGGCTCAGCACTTCAACGGGCTGCTGGAGATAGCTCGTTCCCTCGACTCCTTCACACTCTCTCCTGAGGCTGCTGTTGGACTCCTGAAAGGTAGGTGTGGAAAAGCTCTGGTGATGTGTTTTGAGGTGGAGATCGCTCACCATGGACGTTGCGATCCCGTTTTCACGTGGTTTTTCTTCAATAAGAGGATCTTGTTTTGCCCCATCCCTCCACATATCATCATTTTGGTTAGAAAAGACCTTTAAGATCAATCAAGTCCAACCAAAAAACCAACACTGCCAAGTCCACCACTAAACCATGTCCCTCAGCACCTCATCTACACATCTTTTGGATACCTCCAGGGATGGTGACTCCACCACCACCCTGGGCAACTTGTTCCAACACTTGACAACTCGTTTTGGTCAATAATTTTTTCCTAATATCCAATCTAAACCTCCCCTGGTGCAACTTGATGATGTTCTTCTCATCCTAAATTTAGACTCTTAAACACATGTGCACTTTTAGAGTCTTCTCAAGAGCTGACTTGTTAGATTGCCCAAGGAAGCTGTGGCTGCTCCTCCCTGGAAGTGTTCTCGGCCAGGTTGGGTGAGGCTTTGAGCAACCTGGTCTAGTGGAAGGTGTCCCTGCTGCTGGCAGGGGGGTTGGAACTGGATGAGCTTTCAGGTCCCTTCCAACCCAAACCATTCAATGATTCTATGACTTGGGGCAGGAGGTTTAAAAAAAGAGCCTTTTTGGGGTTTCTAAACTACCTCCATCCCTGCTCAGAACTTGTAATGTGGGAAGAAGACATTTGCAATGCTCCCAGCCAAGCTAGTGGTGAGTTATAACTTCATCCAAACACTTGGAAATTGGCTGCTCTACTCACAGGGTGGAAAATTTGTGACTATTTATACTTTTAGAGACATTTTGGGCACAATAATGTCATTTTTCAACTCCAGCTCGTGGTCTGAGCATTCATTTCTCACCAGCTCTTTGGCTGTTGGGTATCGTGTGCTTCATCAACCACATCTGGTTTTTTGGATGTGCAGGATTCATGTCCAAGCCTCAATAATTCCTGATGGATTTGAGTGTTTCTGAAACTTTTGAAGACGGAGCAGCTCTGGAGCTTGTGCCAGAAGTTCTACGATGGGGGTGTATGACTTTATAAAGAGACAAGATTCACCTTTTTTCACTTGTTTGCACTCTCATATCGATGTGAGAGGTGTTACCAACACTTCTGAGCTGCTCCTCTCCCTACCACGAAATATTTTCTCCTGCTCCTCTCCCTGCCACGAAATATTTCCTCCTTTCTCTTTAAAACAACACAGTGAAGATTGTGGTGGTTGCACTTTGGCTGTGGCCGAACGCAGCCGCTCGCTCACTCCCCACCCAGGGGATAGGGGAGAGAATTGGGGGGTGAGGAGACTCGTAGGGTGAGAGAAGAAACATTTAATCATGGAAATCAGATCAAACATAAAATAATAATGATATTCTAATAGTAATTATAATAATAATAGTAATAAAATATGCAAATGAGTGATACCTAGTGCCATTGCTCACCACCCACTGGCTCACTCTCGGATAATCACCCCAGAGAGGTGACAATCCCGACCCGAAACCGCAATCCCGGGAGAGCCAGAGCCCGAGCCAAAGCCAGAGAGAGCAGGAAGAGCCCCTCATGGATCTCCTGCCCATGGGGGACAGGAGATGGAACAGCCCCTTGGCAGAGCCCAATGCCCATGGAGCTGATCCATTGCAATATTTCTCACCCCCTGAGATCTTGTGCTTGTAGACCAAAAAACCACAGGGTCTGTTGGAGAACCTCACTCATGTTGTGTTTCACCACTCCTACGTTGTGTTCTTGCTCCTCAGCTTGTCTCCTCTTGCATTTCAGGGACGGCCTTGGTCCTGGCCAGGCTCCCCTTGGAGAAGATAGCAGAATGCCTCAGCGAGCTCTGCGCCGTACAAGTGATGGCGCTGAAGAAGGTATGTTAACGTGCTCCTTGTCCATCACTGGTTTCCATGGGACAGATGGGAGACCATCACAGAATGGTTTGGGTTGGAAGGGACCTGAAAGCTCATCCAGTC